TCAGAGACCAACTACTGACCCGCAAACTGCAGGAACACAAGGTAATAAACAAACTTGCACTACTTTAATATAAGCAAACAGAATGGATTTTTATCATAGAAACACATCACGTAGCATCAGAGGGCAGGAGTCACTCATGGCTCAAAACTTGAAGATGGGTCTCTCCAGTAGGCAACGTCAGGATTTTGTCTTGGGGAAATAAGGAACACACAGCATAACAGTGTGGCATTGTGGGTATATTAAACCATTAAAAATGATATTAGATATGTTAGGTTTCAATTTATAATGTATTAAGCACGTGTTGTTGCCTGTGTTTCAAAATATATTTACATATCTTCAAACAATTCTAGAAAATTGTCTTTGATCTTGCCTGATTTTTTGTTTTGTTTTACCCGATCTGTTTTCAGTTATCAAGAAGTGACGGAGACCCACGTGACCTCCTGGATGCCTTGTTAAAGGGCCAGACTGGTGGGCAGGGTCAAAAATCTTCGAAGCCAAAAGACGACGGGATAACTGACGACCATGTCCTGATGACAGCGGCTGAGACTTTTGGAGCTGGAGTGGAGACAACATCCACCACACTACTGTGGATTCTGGCCTACCTGTTGCATCACCCTGAGGTAGAAACATAATGTCAGTCAAAGAAATGTAAAAGAAAAGGCATTATGAAGACTTTCTGTTTATCAGCCCAACAAGAAAAACATGAAGACGTTTGGGCAGAAAACTGGCGGCATATAAGACACTTCATCTTGTGCCCTCCATCATGCTGGTTGCCTTTTCTGTAGTCTTTAATTATGAACGGTCAATTTGATCTGCCAATATGCTTCACCCACTCCAGGTCCAGGAGCGCGTGCAGAAGGAGCTGGATGAGCATGTTGGCAGTGAGCGGACTGTGACCATATCAGACCGTGGTCAGCTGCCATACCTGAACAGTGTCATTAACGAGGGCATGAGGATCCGGCCAGTGAGTCCCGTGCTGATCCCACACACCGCTATGACCAACAGCAGGTAGACCAGTTTAAATCTGTATTGCAGCCATTGCTGATTTGTTTAGTACATTAAGTTTCTTGTTATGATGAAAATGTGAACAAGGAAACATTAGCTTATTTTCTCCATCCATTGTCTTCTGCTGAACTGAAGCACTGTTAGCTAAAAAAAATTGCAACAGAAATGCATTATAAGGTAATCTAATTGTTTTGTATAATAAGAAAACCTTAAAACCTTAAATAACTGGGGATCTCTGGTAGCATTGGAGGCCACATTGTCAGCAAGGGGACACGTGTTTTGGTCAACATGTGGTCGATTCACCACGACCCCGATCACTGGGACACACCTGATTTGTTCAAACCAGGTTAACAGATGCACATAAACACCAACAATGTAACTCCAGCTTTTTTTTAAAAAGAGCACCTAATCACACCACCTTCTCCTGTGTTGTCCTATCATTTCAGAACGTTTTCTTGACCAACATGGTCAGCAGGTCACACCCTCCTCTTTCCTTCCATTTGGGGCAGGACCTCGAGTCTGCGTTGGCAAATCACTGGCTATCCTGGAGGTCTTCCTTTTCTTGTCCTCTCTGCTCCAGCGAATGAGCTTCAGGGTGCCAAATGGTGCTCCTCTGCCCAACTTGCAGGGACGGTTGGGTGTGGTGTTGCAGCCATTGCCTTTTAAAGTTGTTGTTGTTCCCAGGGCTGGATGGGAGGATGGAGGAAAATGACAGTGAGAGAGTGTGAGGCAGACAGTCAGGCTGGGTGATGAGAAACAGAAACGTAAATTGCTCATTCCATGTCATTTCATCACATGCCTCCTACTGCCCAAAATCCAAGCAAAAAAAAAAAAAAGGAAGAAAACCCAATTCAGGTGAAAGATACACTTCTTAATAGCAAGTCAAAGGAGCTTGCAAAGAAAAGCGTCTGGACTTCTTTAAGTTGCTTGAAGACGTTTCACCTCTCATCCGAGAAGCTTCTTCAGTTCAGGTCATTGTAGTTCTTCAGTTCTGAAGAACTACAATGACCTGGATGACTGAGAACCTTCACAGACATACTTCTTAATAGCAACAGAGGGAGGAATACCAGTTTGTGGTGTCTCTGCTGTCATTAGTTTTCTCACAAAAAACAAAACAAAACAAAAACAGAGAAAAAAAAAGTTTTTAAATGTTTTTGTTGCATTGTTTTTTGAGGATTCATGTTTGCAAGTCCTTTATCCAATATGAAATTTTACTTAAAGATGTGAATCTTAACCTTGGGATTTTTTTCAGGCAAAGGGGAGATTTTATTAAAGCTTATGAACTGTGATGGAGCCATACCATAACCATAATGCACATACAGCTAAGAGAGTAAGCTAAGCACTTCCATAACCATTAAACTAACCCATTAAACCATTATTCTAGTCAAAATATTCTAGATTGTTGTTGTTCTTTAGGAAGCTCTTTGTCGTAACATACTTCCATCATATTTGGATAAAACAAAAAACACAGTTATTTTGTTAAATCAACATTGGGTAGATCTGACCAATAAACGTGTTACTAATTAGTATAAAATTATTATGAAGTATACCATATAAAGTATTAGTATAAAACTAGCAACTATCACCTGCCGCTATTGCCGTTTTTAGGGGGTTTTCCTACCTTTGCAGTTTGGTCAGTTCAAGTCAAACTCTGGTTGAGAGGTGTCACACTTTGCGCTTGGTAACAGGAATGTCCTGTGGATCTTTTCCCACATTTTGGCTCACATGATAACAGTGGTTTAATGACCCACAGGAACGCCTCAAAAAAAGCATGACCAGGAGGGGTTAAATACTCTGGGCTGTCAGTTATTTTAGAAGAATCCTCCTGGATGCAAGACAAAACAACTTCATATAGTCTAGTTGACTTCATTTTAACCACTCAAGGTGTGTTCAGTTGTGAATATGGGCATCACACTTAGACGTGGGCCAATATGAGTGGTTTTGGTCGGGTTTCAAACAAACTCCAAAGCAGTTTTTATAGAACCATCCGACTCAAGTACTAGGTCTATGCTGCAGTTTTGAGTTAGACGGCTTCCCGTAGCCAGCCATGGTCTGCAATCTGGTGCGCAGCAGAGCACTACAGACACAGACTACAGTTCATCCTGAAATATCATCTAATATAATGAGTTTGTAAACTACAGGTATGAAAATGCCCTGAGAAGATTGACAAGAAATTGTTTGACTTGGTAGTTTTATGCCAAATTCCCTTCCTGACAAAACCCCAAAGCAAACTTATGTCCCCGGCTGGAATCAAAGTTTACCACTACACTATGAAACCACATAATGATTTCTTCTTTAAATAACAGACAAAAAATGTACAAGAACACTGTAAATCCTTAGAAATGTTAGTGTAATGGTAGAACCTTCCCTACAGCTTCAAGCTGCTAATACCTTCAAATTTTCACTACTTTTTTAAAACTTCAGTATTAACGACTATGTGATAATTTTATTACTTGTTCAATTATCATCTGTAATTGTTACAAAATACAGTCTGTCATTATTATTATTTCAAATGAATAAATGATGATTAATCTTCAGTGTGGTTGTAGCACTTCTTCATTTTCTGTCCTATATGGATGAAATGTTGTTCTACTAGAAAGAGCAGAAAGACACAGGTGGTTTTTTTTTTTAGATTTGACAGTTTATTCAGTATATTTTCACACACTTTTAGAACAGGCTGGTTTAGTTGGATCACACACACACACACTCATACATACACACTAGCTATTAATTTAGTATTACTACTAATTAGCTCCGTTGCCATTGTAATATTAATGGGTTTTAACAACTAATCTCTTCGGTGCTTCTTTCGACATCGCCGACAAACCTCATGCATACAGGAAGGACAGAAGAGATTACGAGAAGAGCATAGCATCCTTTGGACAGAGGGATGGATCCCTACAATAGAAGGAACAACAACACTTTCAGAAAAATAAATAATTTTGCTATACACCACAGGTGAAGCTGCTTACAGTTGCATCGTCCAAAAAGTGAAAATTGATCAAAGAGCCAAAAAGAGAGAAATTTGGTTATTCCAAATCTAAACTGACTCTAGTCATGTTAAGATCTGCGTTTGTTTCACAGAGTAAGATAATAATAACAGGGTACAGACTCTGCATGACCAAATACTGACTGTACCATGACCATGACCAAACATTTGGTCATCAGACTTTAGTTCCGAATTTAGTCTTTTGTTAGCATCAATGTAGGCAGTTTTACATAAAGAGAACCGGTCACCCCAAAAATTAAAACATGATTCATTGCCTCCAAATAGCTCCTGCTCCTGGATCTCAGGATGGACTTCCATTTATAGCCCCCACCCATTAGCAACTCTGATGAGAAGTTATGATGAGAATACAGAGTTTAGCTTGTGACATTCGCCCACAATCTTCACGTAATCATCAAACAGGCATGCGTCTTTCTCCAGAAGTTAAATAAACCTGGTCTCTTCTGACTTCAGCCAGAATGTCAATGACGCAATAGCTCATCTGGCTTACAATCCATCACAATTCACTGCTTATTAACTTGAAAATAACAAATTGATCTTGACCTTAAGTACAGTTTAGGTGAAGACACATTAGTTGATCATTTTGTGCAAGTTCCACTAAAACTTCACAAATACTTCAGGAAGAGCAGAGATTCTTGTGAACTATTAAGAGAAGGCAGATGCCTCAACATGGTCTAAGTTCAACGATCCTTTGGCCAGATGAGCTAAAATAAAAAGATGGCATGGCCTTTAAGATAAGGAACCACAGAGTAAGATTACAGCAACTATGGTATACTTTTATAAAATGGTCTAAGAAGAAAACCATTTCAGTGGTTAGCCAATGGGCTGGGTAGGTGATCAGTTCCCTTTAATGGTTACACTACCTCAAATGTATGGAGTCAGAGAAAAACAGGAACATAAATGCTTTTACATGGATACTTTTTGACTCTGTTTGAGCTAAAAGTTTAAAATAACATATTGTGACACTGCAAACATGTGACCTGTCGATGCAAAACCTGTCAACGTGCTAGTAAATGTAAAACTCTTCAGTGCAAGAGAACACTTGTTAACATCTGATGAAAACGATAAGTCCCGGTTTAACTCTAACAAAAAGACAGAGACTGGGGTTTCCAAAAGTTATTCAGCTCTAAAATTAGCCTCACATTCAAGGAGACTGGGTACAATGGGTCGAAGATTTTATCCCCAAAACGCCAAAGGAGACAGTTACCATGTTGGCTCCCAAGAGCTTCAGTAAAAACTCTTGATGGTCAACATGTCACAGCTCTAAAGTCACAATCACACAGCTCTAGAGACTCTTTGACACTGACTGGCAACTCCTGGTTGCAAGGAAATATTTAGCATTTCCCAACTGGTTGCAAGCGGCTTAACAACGGCAAGTGACTTCTGGTAACCACTAGTTACCAGGGAAAAATGTGTATTCCCCAAACGGTTGCCAGGTGGTTGCTTGATGCTGCTTGGTAAAATAAGTCACAAGATGGAGATGATGTTGAGTCTAAAACCTTCTTGCCTTTGCTTTGGTTGCTAGGAGATTGCAGTGGTTGCGTGATGCAGAATTATCTGCAAACACTTATCACTGAGTGACTTCAAAAATGAAAAGTGCAACATAAAGTCGATTAAGATTGTTTCCCTCCAAAGTAAAAGTTATGCCCTTTCAAACAAGATGGTTTCAATGGTTTCTATTTCAGCCCCATGTTGCCCTGTGTTGCACTCTTCAGACCTTCAGAACCACCAGTGAGTAGTTTGCAACTGTTTGCAGACAAGTCTGCATCTTCAGTATAAACTACAGGAAACTGCTGCAATCTGCTAACAATCAAAGACATCACAAGGAGATTTCTGTTGCTGTTTGTTGCTCATTGATTTCAATGAGTTACCTCCAGCAAACACTCGACATCTGGTTGGGAATACATATTTTTACATACTGACCGGACCTTGCCAAGGTTCGCCAAGTGGTCTCTTGGCTTGTGTGACTAAGGAATTGTAAGGCAGATCAAAGAGCTCCACAGCTTTGGGAACCCGGGCTTGCAGACAGATTTCAGGCAACATTTCTCCAGTCATTCTGGTCAAAAGTCCACACAAACACACACACGCACACACACACACACACACAGAGCAAGAACAGCTCTAGCTAATGCTAAGTAGTAACAGTTGTCAAGTAGAAATAGCACTCATTAACCATGGAGATATATAACCTTATTAGTTCAGGTATACAAAAAACTTCAAAACAAAACAAAATTAATAAACAAAACAAAAAAACAAACACCACCAGTAACAACATTTACCACAACATCAACGGCTTGTTGTCATCCTTGAACTTTCTGGAGGTCCATCAGCCACGGCAAACTCTTTGATCTCAATCCATAAGATGAATCCGTTCAGACTCACATAAGTCCAGGTTCAAAACCAAATATATGCACACTGATCCAAGTATTAATCCAGTCTTTTGTACGTTGGCTACCAAAACAGTCTGCTTCGTCATGTCCTTTGTATGGTGGGACACTGCTTCTGTCCATGACAGCGTCGTATATTGTGAGAGGTATCCGTATGGACACCTCTGCCAAGAAAGTTGTACATGAAGTACGTGAAGTACATGTTGTAATGCAGCATGGACACAGGATTTAAGGATCAGTCCAGGAGACTCAGTGTCTGTCCATTTGACAAGGTTGAGTTAACATATCACCAGGTGAACCCTGCACCATGGGGACCTGACCATTTTCATGTCTTTGCTTTTTTTAGGCAACAGTTAAACTTTCCAACCTTTAAGAGTTCTGGTTTAAGCATTCACCTGCCAGTACGATCCAATAACACCACTGTGCACTATTTCTCTTATTGGAGTCAACACACTTTCCAACACACTGCAAATTTAACGCACGTCTGTGAAAACTTTCAAACGCAGCTAACATTAACAGGCTGCAAAAACAAGTGCACTTTGTGGGAGCAGATATGAAGGCATCTCACCCTTTGTGCTCCAACCAGTTCAGTTTTAAGAATCCATGCGCTACAATGCTACAACACAAGATAACAAAGTGACAGTATACATTTTTGAATTGTATGCATTCGACTTGATGTTATACACCGACACACAGAGTCTCACAAATGTGTGATGGCGCACTTCCATCAAGCGCGTTGGAAATTACTTGTGTCCTTAAAACTGCACAATTATTCTACTGCTGTCAGGTGAAAAAGAAAAGAAAACACAGACAAAGGTAGGCAGAATTTGCTTGAACCACAGTAGAAATCCAAACCTTACAGATTTTACAATCAATGATGATGCATTCTTACTATGAAGCCTTTCAGAGGTGGTTATTCTGCAGCTCTCTCTCTGGCTATTTACACACAGACTCTTGCTGAAAAATATTGCTTTTCACTAATTTCACACTCTAAGGTGACTTTAAACACATTAGCCATTACTATACAAACATTATTCTGTGTCACTGACAAAATATACTCTACCTTCAAGTCTTTTTGTCACAAAATATCAATATTGACATGTTTATTATGTGAAGAGTGTACGAAACATTAATCGGTACCAACCGCTGCCAAAATAAATAAATCACAGTTCTAGCCAGATTGTGGGGCATCATTTCTAAGGCCTTAAAATATCTTGACTTACTGGCAAAACGTTGATTGGAATACATTTACTTGATTTTTACCATTTTACCAGGACAAAGGAGAGTTGTCTATGAATAAGAGGTGCATGAAGCGTAAAGCAAGATGCTACTGTTTAGATGTATTGTATCATCTGACCTCAAACTCAGTGAAAGAGGCAAAGAAGGCAAGACGGGAACCATGACGTGTTTCGTCTCTGCTGTGTTTGGCGCTTTGTTTCTCTCTAAACGTTCCCATTGTTTGCGTTTATTTATGTAAGAGCTTTTCTCTGTTGAATGGCTGACGCACAGGAAGCCTGCCGATCCTGTCCACCCCGAAAATCTTCTACACACAATCGGGATCGCAGGAAAAAAAAAAAAACATCAACAGAAAAAAGTAAATGAAAAATAAAAAAAGCGACCCACCTAATTCTACCCTTCTGACAGACTTCTTCATCAAAAACGTCCCCTTAATGAATGAATCAGCTTTCCTGCTGTCAGTCAGCGTGAATCATCCGCCTACATCAGCCTCTCTTCAATTCCAAACCAGCCAATTTGTCCCCAGCACATTGCCAAACCTACGTCATCACCCAAGACGAGCGAGGCATCTCTGGCTACATGTCCAACTATTTAAAGTTCCTTATTTCTTTTTATTAACCGTGGACAACATAATTTCTGTGAGGGGTGTGATGCAATCTACAGCGACAATCTGTGCAGTCTTAATTCAGTATTAATGACGAATTGTGACAGTCATCGAATCGGCTGAGTTCCTCTCTGAGCATTTAAATCCTCTGCATCACTAAAACAGCATTAATCTGCTAGTCTGCTGAATTTGGGGGAAACAACCACTTTTTAAGGTTTCTGGTGTAGCCAACAAAAGTCTGTATCAAGACTACTTCTGCCCATGACTCATTGGTCTACAAATACACCAAAACTTAGGCTAACAAAAGCCTAAAAGCTAATGATTTTGTGGTTTTGCAAGTAAAATTACACAAATCCAATCCCTGACTGTTTGCCTTCATGCAACTTGCTGTGCAAACATGGTTAGAAAAAGAACCTGAACTTGAAGTGGAAACCAAAAGTTTTAGCAATTATCATCAAGTGTTTGATGACTGCATGCAGAATATGTTTTGTAGATATTTAATGGCATGTCCATCTGCTGTCACAACCAAACCATGACTGAGATGGTTATTTGTTTAATGGAAACTAATAATGTCATCAATTACTTTGTGTTTATAATTTTTGTTGCTGGCTAACTAATTACTCCATCTGTTGTGAAAGCCTCCAATGTACATGAGTTAAAATCACGTTGGAACTGAAAACGTCAACCTCAAGACGATCCTACAGTCAGAGTTAAGGTTAACTCTAACTGTAACCCTAATGTTTTGAATAAAGAAAACTATATTTTTGCTAGTTTAAAATTTTGTGTCAGTTTTTCTTTTGCCCTGGATGCCAAAGCTCAGAAGAACAACTTTCAAAAGCTAAAAAAACCTATCGTTCAATACCACAAATTAGATTTTAGGGTTTAGTTCCCACCTTACAAAGACTTTCCTGTAACTGTGAACGCCACTTAATGGATGTGCAGATCCTTTACGATTGGGTGCTTCAGATAATGCTCCATAATCTTTGTTAGAGATATAGATTTTCTTCATAAATTGGCAACTGTCCAAAATGAAGTAATAATGGATGGGTAGAAATTTTAGAGGCTGCTTTTGCAGAACCATCTAAATGAGATAAAATTAGGGAGATGGGGCCCACCTAGCTGACAACAGCTCTGCAGTGTGGTAGTCCTAAAACTTTTCCAACATTGCATGGAATTTGAGTGAAAACCGCTCTTGTACCTGGATATGTCAAAAGTTGGCACAAGGACTCTTTATGATTCCAACTCATTTTAAGAAACTCTCAAGTCAGCCATCTAAAAATTGTGCATGCCTATTAACGGAACCTATTTTATCCTCAGTCAAAATCACATTTAACTAAAGCCTTTCCAGTTACAGAAAGATTTAAGGGTAAACACTATCGATCAGTTCTTGTTGTCTGGAACCCCTGTCTGGATGGCGAATGACCCTACTTATGTCAGTCACACTGTCTCCATGACAATGACGACTTCGCCGCTGTCCTCAGATGTTGGTGTTGTGGTGGCGGTCGGAGTACACAGTGTAAGTCCTTCCTCTGTGGTCACCTGACCCCTTGCAGGGCAGTCCACACTGTCATGGAGATCAGAGTCACTATTTCTTTTATCTCTCTCCCCTCCATTTCCTCTCCTGCCACCTTCCTCCTCCTCCTCCTCCTCTTCATCCTCCTCCTCTACACGACACCTGCACACCTCGATCCCAGAGTCACCTGTGAGTCGCCGGTGTCTATACTGGCTCTCATCAGCTCCCATGTCCTCATCTTCGTCTTCGTCATTGTCCTTCTCCTCCTGGTCCTCGTCCTCATTCTCCCAACTGGGTGGTCCTGGCTCAAAGACATCCACGCAGGGGGAAAACAGAGTCTGTTTTGGTGGAGACTGAGTAGCACGAGGTGATGGTGAGAGGGAGGATGCGTGGCCAGAGGAAGATCCACCTTTGTCAGACTGGTGCAAAGCAGTAAGGGGGTCCAGAAGTAAGGCTGGAGAAGAAAGGGAGGTGGAAGAAAGGGCTTGAAGAGTTAGGGGAGGAGGAGGAGAAGTAGAAAGGGATGGGGGTGAGGATGGGGAGAGAGTCGCAAGGGGTGACTGACAAGTAGCATAAGAAGATTCAGACTCTATGGTTATGGCTGGGCAGGGGGACGCAGTGGACACTTGTTCTGAGAAAGTGAGAAGTGGTGTAGGGGTGGACAGAGGCTCAGACTCAGAACAAGCACCAGGGCGCAATTCAGATCCAGAACAAGAACCAGAACTAAAACACGTCTGGGCATTTGAAGGCAATGGAGGAATATGGTCAAACTCAGACAATCGAGGCGGGACCAGAGAATGACCTGAATGATCTGTTTCTGCAGTTGAATCCAGGCAAGATGTTGAAACAGCAATAGACCCTAAATGCAGGGATAAATGTGACCCAGGGCTGGGATGACCCTCGACTAAACCTGATCCAGGTGATAGTTCTAGGTTCTGGCACTGAGTTAGGATGGGTAAAGTTGGTGCTGCATCTGTGACTAGGGCAAGATTTGCATGCCTTGGAGACAGAAGGCTATTAACTGGTGAATCTGCAACTACCCCAGCTTTAGGCTGTGGATTTGGAAGCAGGATATGATCTGAAGTTACCAAATCTGGAGGTTGTGTAAGCTTTAGAAATAGCGATTGTGGTTCCTGACCTTGTGTAAACTTTGTATGTTCTTGGACTAGAGACTGGGTAAGCTTTGTAGGTTCTTGGACTGGAGACTGGGTAAGCTTTGTAGGTGATGGAATTGGTACAAGATTTGGGTCAGGAGTTAGGCAACCAGAAACAGAGCCTGCTATTGGAGACAAAGTTCTTCCAGCATCTGGGGATGGAACTGAGGCTGGGCTATTAGGAGAACTGACTGTATCAAAAGTCCTTGTTAAATTTAGTGTTTCCAGTGATTTTATGGTTATAGAAGAGTCAGAAGCAGTTGGGGTAGGAGGCCTTGACATTAAGGGAATCTTTGGGGTATCATTTTGGACAGTATTGGTGTCCATTGCTGGGCTATGTATTATTTGGATGGAGGGGAGTGCTGTGTCAACAACATTTGGACTAGGGAGTGTACTTGAGCTACAGGTGCTGACTATTGGGGTACATGGTGCTATGTCAAGCTGCTGCTTTATGGGAGATGTAGTCCCGACTGGAAGGGTGAGCTGAAAACCAGGTGAGGGTGGAGGCTGAGGGGAGGCTGCCCTGGTAACAACCGCCACAGTAACAGTCTGGTTGGAAACCGATGAGTTTGTGGCAACTGCTGTATGAGCTCCAGCACCGCTTACGTCAGCAACGTCAAGGACCATCCTCTCAGAAGCAACCTGCGTCTCGTTTGAATTCAAGTAGGCTGCAGCTGCAGAGATGGTCTCCATGGTGACATCAAGGGTGAGAGGCGTGGCTTCACTGGGTGTGGAGGCATGGCTAGTGTCAGTCTCATATGTAATGGGTGCCGACAGGGAGGAGCTACATGGAGAAGAGGGGCAGCAGGAATCACAGGAACAGCTGGAGCTACAGGAAAGATTTACAGATATTGAATAACACCTGAATATTATATACTAAAGCTGCAAAAATCCAACTCATAAGGTAAACACAGTAATCAGTGACAGAAAAATCGTTTGAATGGTATTATCAGTACTGAAAAGGCTACATTAATGAACAAAATGAACCTTCTGGGATTTTCTTACCTGGATTGAGCGTGCATCAAGACAAGCAAAAATACTGGGAGTAGCTATTATTTGTGATAGTACCACTAATACCAGTGACACTTGATGTTACACTTGAGCTGAGGTAGGAAAAGCACCTGGTTCCAAATCAGTAATTACTGCTACTTTTGCTGTTGTGGTAGTAGTACCACTTGTACTTCCTGTACCATTAGAAAAACTGTTACCTGTTGTCTGAGCTGAGGGAGGACGGCCCATCGCTGTGCGGCCGGTGCAGCAAGGGACCGTGTTGTGTGAGCAGATGGGGGTCGGCGGTGCGTGGAGGTTGAGGGTATCGAGGGGTGGTGAAGACGGAGCTGTAAGGAGGAGGAGGAGTCGAGGGCTGAGCTGCCACCTCCTCATAGGAAGGCAACTTCAGGGATGCCAAGAAACCTACAAGCAGAAGAGGGAATGAAGGTTAGCACAAAGACACTGTTCAGTGGCCCTTTTCTTTTGTTTTTTTCTACATTTGTTTTGATGTAATGCACCAAGAGGGCAGTGGGATTGCTTTTTTTAAGCAGTCCCTCAGCAGGTTGATAGTGGTAACTTTGTTAAACTGAACTTAATAAAAGCCCAACTCAACAAAAGTGCTCTCTCCTGCAGCCATGTCAAAAGGTGGAAACCAACATGGCGGTAGATTCGAAAACCTTGTCCTATTTAGCAATATTTTTTCTATAGAATGTGAATGCATTTGTATTCCTAGACATGCAATATATCATGGTTTTCCAAATAAATAAACAATACCCCCCTGCCAAGGGGGGGCGCTACAGCAAGTAGCTCCACAAATTAGATTTTTTACGCTGGACTCCCAAAGCGGCTTTTATCCCCTCATGGGTAATTATAAATTATGCCTGGGTGATCTACCCCAAAAAAGTCCAAACCCGAGTTTAAAAGACGATCGAGGTGTTGTGGTCCAGCAAGCATCTGTGATTTATATGACGTAGCCTTGATCTGGATTACAATAATGACAAGTGGGCAGCTTGATGCCGAGGCTCTACAAACAAAACCTGATGCATTTACAGATGCACTTCTCTTTGGAGTGCATTTTAGCACAAAGTTTCTGAAAACCTTTGGTCTATGTAACTCATTATGCAGGCAAGATATATGCTAATGGAGCTTTTTCTGCCAGCTGTACACACAACAAGTGATGAAGACAGTGTGATTTATCTGGAAGTAGCAAGACACTTAGAATTCTTTGATCATGCAAACCCACTGCATGGGGTGGGTGTAGCAGAGGAGGGTGCTAGGGGATAGGATGAAATGGAGGAAGATGATCTGCTGTGACGAACCCCAAAAGGGTG